TTTAGATAGAACAGTTTGTTAAAGTGTACATTCACTTTTTTTCCTAACTCTTATAGTTTCATGGCAAAATTGATTTTTCGGAAGGGTGCTTCTGGATTCTGTCGATAAACTTTAAGAAAACGTTCCTCATAAAACCTAAAAAAATATAGTACCTATTAAAATTAGTCTTAGTCTTAGTCTCGAGTATGTGTGAGTCAAATGTCTCCCCTTCCCTTGGGTTTAACCAATAGTATTAAAATTATTTAGGAGATGCTTCGTTTTTGAGATATAGGGTGTCTTTTTTAGAAAAAAAAAATTATGATGGAAACAATAGAAATATTTAAGTACCTAACATCTAATGTGACATGTGACTATGTCGTAATGCGACGACGTAATAACTTGTAATACTCCTAAATTTTTTCAGGCGGTTTGTAGTCACTTCATTTACTTGTGTTGTGTAATTTTAAATAAAATAAGATGGCAAACAATACATGAAAATTTATTTGTAAATTGAAACAACCAAAAAATTACCAATTAATATTATACCTAGACATTTAAAAAATATTTTGTTCAAAATGGGCGCCTCCGGATTGTAAACAAGCACATCTTCTAATTATGGAGGTAGTGGCCGATCGACACTGAATTGGAGTTAATTCTCGACACGCTTGGACTATTCGCTGTCTTAGATCTTCTAAGGTTTTTCGTTAATAATAATTATAATTAATTTCAATTGCTAGCTTTCAATTTTATTTCCTCAGTCTATTTCTCGGACAGGCTGACAACTATAAACACGACAAATTTTCGAAATATTTATTTATGGATATTAAGGGGATAAAATATAAGGTCATGTGTTACATGTGTAACAAATCTATGCGGTTAGAGCACAACACAGGTTAGAATAATTTATTGTTTTGTCTAATTTAGTTAATTAATACATAGGCACACATAGGTACATTAATGAAATATGTCACAGATAAATAAATTTTACATATTTTCACACCTTGTGGTTTTTCTAAAAATCGCTGTAGTAAATAACTATTTTTCCGAAGTCGTATTATGCATAAAACTAAAATGCTAATATTTTAAATGTCTTTGTTCTTCAGGCTCCATTAGGATTCTTTAGGCATTGTTTTACTGCGAGATTGATGATAGTAACCAAGTAACCATTTCTGAAAAATTATAATGCCCCCTACAGTAAATAGTTTTTCCGTCTCGTTTTTTAAGTTAGACGTAGTTATCTTCTAATCATAGGAGGTAGTTTATTCTTCCATTATTTTATTTTTATTGTTATTATTATTGTTACTATTCTTATTATTTTCGACATTGGGTATCTTTTATGCTGAAAAGACACAAAATAAAAAACTTTATCCATAACTGATGAAAATGTAACAAAAAGGATTAACTATATAGTGAAAAAATTGTATCATAATCAAAATTTACACATGTGAAATAGTATCGGGTGGTCATGGATAGTAAATTGTTTATTTATGTGTTTATATGTATATTCTTTATCGGTTTCATTTTTGAGAGGGGCTTGGTGAGACTATCTTCTGCTAACCGTAAGTTCCATTAGTCGTTCTAATTTGGCTGATTATGGTGAAATAATAAATTTGCTAATAAATAATTATTTTTCTTGAGAAATGGACGAATAGTACGTACCACCATAAATTTTGGAGGAGTAGAAGAAGCAATGTGACCGTTAATCGCGGTAATGTCTAAAAGAAAAGGAATTTGATAACTCTGGGAAAAAAGGCTCACAACGGTTACGTAAGGTGTCCTACTGGCTTATTCCTTCAATGCTAAAAAAAGATTTTCTGAGTCCTCATTGTAGTTGTTTAAAGTGTTCAGAACCGTATGTATATCAAAATATGGTAAACTCATTATTATTTTGGTAACTCAGTTACCAAACCGAAAATGACTAATGCTCTTGAACAAGAACAAGTCAAGCAATTGTTACTCGAAGCTCCTAGCGGAAAATGTTTAATGATGAAGATTATAGTTACATTTTTTTAATAAATAGGTAGGCACTAATTTCGAATACTTTATACATTGAATAAAATATGGTACAGCTAGCTCCTGTCGAGGAAACGAGGCAATATATCTGAAAACTCATAATGTAAAGATAAAGGTACATATTTGTGTATTTATATCACTATAATTCGAAGATTTACATTACACTTAGTTTTACAGTCGTAAATGAAAAGTGTACAGAGCAGTTTGTTAGAACTGATTCAAGAACAAGACTATTTGTTACAATTCCTGCTTTTCTGACTTTATCAGAAGCTAATTTGTGTGACGATCATAACAGGGAACACTATAACAACGAGAAGCGACAAAATCGGCGGCTCCTTTGATGTTTTATGGTCACGCTAGAGTCGACCAATTTGAAGGAAACACAATCGTTTACACTGAGAGAAGTTATATTTTTGAATATATATACACTGAACTGTATAAAATGTAGACAAATTATAACGCAACGGTTTTCATAGCATTGTGTCATATACCTAGGTACAGTGTCCAGAATTAGTGATAAATGTATTGAAATATTAGAGACTAAAGGAAACAGAAAGTCCATTAAACAGTAAATTGTAGATAATTCAGTGGTATATAGATTTATTCTTTTGGCGTAATTTAAAATGTCATAGACACAAAAGTAGCCTTTTATATCATATACTATATTATTTCCTTAATTACTTGTTTTATATTTCCTTAATACGATAATAATAATGATACTTACCTGATGATTTAACCCTTTTTTAAACTTTTTTACAGACTAATATACTGCTAAAAGTTATACCTACAGATTTTGTATAAGTTAAAAACATAATTCATTTTTATTTAAATTTGAGACATAGTTTTACATGTTTTATTGTGAAACAGGGTAGCCCTAAAGAGGGGCATCAATGCAATAAAATATAAATTGGTTAAATTCGCATAAACTAGGTACCGTTAAAAATGCATATCTATCTTAAAACACATTTTATTAGAATAATTTTGTGCTACATTCACCTTTCGTAATCCTTAGGGAATCTATAAAGGGTTAATCCTTCACCAGTTTTGGATGAACAACCGCGGAAAGCACAATAATAACCAGACATTTTACTGATTTCAAGTTGATTCTAAATGAAAACGAAATTCAATACAAATAAATCCACTATCAATTAATGTTATACAACACAACTGTCCACCGCCAAAAAAACTATTTACTAATTACCGGTTTCTTCTACTTATATTTGGCGGCTCTGACAGCCACTGGCAGCTGACAGCAACACAACCCAGTTCGCGCATGCGAAAACGAAAACTGTTAACGCAGAAAGCCATGCTGTCGCTTCTCGTTGGTATAGTGTTCTCTGATCATAGTATGGAACGTTAATCACCTACATTACTTGCCGAAGTGGCGATATTAACCATTAAATGCTACGGTAGGCGGAAAAAAGATACATTGTACATTGGAATAGGTACATTGAGGATTCGCCATTGAGTAAAATTGAAACAACAAAGAGGATTCAAGGGATTCCAAATAGATTGAAATACGCAAGAACACTTGACCCGCGGTTTCAATATGTATAGTAACCGCAGTATAGTCCACCTAAAGTAGGTCAATGTTAGAGGTCATGACACAAAGATCAACAGACTGATTACAGTGCTTTAAAAAAATAGTAACAAATACTTTTCTTGAACTGAACTGAACTGAAGAGTTGAAATTATTTGAAAAGGTAATCTATTACATTAATAAGTATTTTTATTCACATAATTTCTTATTTTGGAGATTCTATAAAACAGCAAAAATAATTATTTAAAAAAATATCCAGCGCTTCGTCCGCATTTATATAAAAGAAATATAATAACATGTCGCGAAGTCTTACAAAAACAATGCCACTCCGTTAGTTCACTGGCAACATGATGCAATTCCGATCATTATACTTATAGGAATAAGAGTATTCTATCTAAAACTGTCCAGAACCAATATATTGAGAACCAAGAGAATACTTTAGTTCTGTAAAAATTATTGTGAAGTATTCTACCGTCATTTTCTTTATAACAGTGTGCCTACTACCGTTGAGTGGGAAATTTCTTACTCAACGCTACTACCTGCAAGTCGTAACAAACCAAAACAATTCTTGACCAAGTCATAGTTTGTATTTTACATCCAATCTTTGAAGAATCGTTTTGGGAAAATTATTTAATTTTTTGTTTTATAGTTTGTTTTAACCAGAGCTCTGAAAGTTTTTTGTAACATCGCTTTACAGCCTGTGTAAAGAAAAAAAAAAGTTTTGGACCATATTGATATTCTTGAAATTTTTGAGCATTGAGTTGAGTTACAGTTAAATGGTACCTACTTGTTTTTTAATGAAAATCCATTTTCTAGGTTATCAAGGAAATGTCGATAATAACTGTAATAATCGAAAATATATCGTAACTTTACAACACTTCACAACACCAGAACTCAATGTTGTCAAAAATAAAAAAGCCATACTTAACTTTAAAAAATGAAGAACAAACAAAATAATAAAGTAAATAATTTTCAATCAAACAGGAAGCTTGATAAAATATTTTTTATTAGCGTTTTGACCAACGAATACGAAAATAATTCCAAGCATCTTGAATGAAAATTAACTTTTAAAAAATTACAATAACTTAAAAAAAATTGAATCAAGTCCAGGTATTTCAGAAACCAGTTTAAAAAATTGTTTATATTTCAAAATTCGCTCAAAATAATTTGATTTTTAAGAACGCTATATTCCTGTCAGAAAAAATTCTCTGAATCACTGAGCCAACTGTATCGTACAGTCTGGGGTCAAATATCACATTTACCCTATGAGCCAAACAACTGACAGTGCCAAGAACAAAGGACAATAATGGTGTTTCTGATAATGCTAATGTAAATTAAACAATAAATTTCTCAACAATGGTTTATATAAACTAGTGCTACCTATATAACTTATAATATATTAGTGTATTATGAATATAAAATACTAGTCCGTTGTAAATATAATGCATTTATTTTATTTCTTTTACAGAACGACATTTACTGCCTTCCAACTGGAGGAGTTGGAACGGGCATTTGAACGAGCTCCATACCCGGATGTGTTCGCACGAGAAGAGTTGGCATTAAAGTTAAACCTGAGCGAGTCCAGAGTACAAGTGTGGTTCCAGAATAGACGGGCGAAATGGAGAAAACGTGAACCTCCACGTAAAACCGGATACATCAGCTCAAATTCGCCCAGTTCCAGCATCACAACGAATTTTAACAACCCAATACCTTTCACCCAACCCAATACAATTAACACATCAACGCCAGTGGAATCTTGGAGTTACCAATCCTCCTACGACTTAGGCCCCCATTTAAACCTACTTAACAGCACATCTGGTTCCTATTCCAGTTTTGGATCCCCAGCTTCTTATTCAAGTTTTGGATCAACGCAAAACAGTTACTCGTACATGTTGAACTCTCATGAAAATCAACTGTTCGGAGCACCCATGCGCACGCATGAGTATACGGCTCCTGCAGGTAACCAAAGTCCTCCCCTAGGAAGGGAATATTCCATGTTGCAAACCCACTCGCCGACTGCAGACGAAAATTCCATAGGAGTGAAAATCGAATACGTAGATCACAATGCACTGAGTCAGTCACCCGAGAGGTATGGCAACGCTTCTCCAAAGTACGAACAAGCGTTTCACGATGACGGGAGAATTAAAGAAGCTAAGCCTGATAATGGAAACGGGAATCAAACATATGTTACATTACCCCCTTTTCTGAATTAGCAAAAATTGTGAATAGGCAATACTTATGACTGTTACACAGGGTTGTTATTATGGACATATTATTTCTTCTTGGCCTTACTAAATGACCAGTTAGATTCAAAATTTCTTTTTAAAGTACGTGAAAAAAAAAATTTTTTTTCGTCAAAATATATTTATGCTTATTTATAGTATCAAATACGAGATATGACAATAAAGTTTAAACCCTCTCTTTAGAGGTTATGTAAGTATCAATATAAGTACAATCCGCGCATTGTACATAAAAAATTGGTGAAGCAGCTTTTGTCTAATAATCTTCAGAACTGCTATTGTGATGAATCATGACAAAACTTTCAAGCTGTTACACATACTTCTTTCAGTGTATCCAAATCGTGAACCTAAAAGTTCAAATAATTAATTTGGAAGTATAGAAGGAAGTTTTACAATGTTTGACGAAAATGATTTAATTTATTACAAATCATGATTTTGCTTCATAGCTATGTACCACTCGAAATACCCTTTTCGTTCATTGAACTTTTTTTCTGTTGTCGAAACCAAAAGAAACTGGTGATGATATTAAACTTAGCGTGACGGCAGTTGTCAAAACCTGCTCCAAAATTGTTATGAAGTGAAAACTAGGTGTTGGTATTGGTACGTAGCTACCCATAGGAGTAATTTGAAGTTGATTACATGAATCTAAAAGGGCATTCTCACTATTCAATCATAGTTGAGCAGTTGCATAACTTTTATTCTGTAAACCAAATTATTAATATTGTCCTGTATATAAGTAGAACATATACTCCTTGAAGTGAAATATATCTTATTTTGATGCGGACAGCGAAGAGATTGGTACAAAGCAGCTATCAAACTGTATTTTCAACATATTTGTATTTATCTGATGAAACATAAATGAATTGATCAATTACTTTAAATCGTTCCGCAATGGTAACTGTGTGATTGGATGAAAATGAAACGTATTTTTAAAATATTTATTTCTAGATGTATTGTTTTACAAAAGAGGAGTGTATTAGATATACGTATACCTATGTGATATTCCGCTACAGTTTTATAGGGATTATAATGTAGACAATGAGACAATGATATATACCTAGATATTTTTTTGCAGATAATTTAAGCAGTTATTTCACGTACCAGGTGCGTTTCAAAGTAAACAGGACTTTTTAAAAACAGGAACAATAAAAAATTTGTTAGACAAAACCGATTTATTTTATTCAAAATAGTCCTGTTCCGATCGACACAGCCGATTTGCACGGTCGATTTTAAATCGTCAGCCGGGTGTCCTTTTAGATGGCGTCTACATCCATAAAACGCTTTCCTTTCAACGGCAAATGCATATTTCCGAAAAGGTAAAAGTCGCTCAATGCCAAATCAGGCGAATACGGGGAGTGGTTGGCAGTTAAAATGCGATTTTTAGTCAGTAAATCGGTTACAAGTGTCGATCGATAAGATGGCGAATTATTGTGCAACAAACGCCAAGTTCCTTCTGATCGATATTCTGGACGAATACGATGCACCAAACGCTTCAAAACACCAAGATAGAATTGTGCATTAACGGTTTGGCCCAATGGAATGAACTCTGGACAATGCCCTTAGAATCGTAAAAGCAAATCAACATAGTTTTCACTTTTGACTTCTCCAAACGTGATTTTTGGGGTTTTGGCTTGTCTGGCGCCTTCCACTCGGCACTTTGGCGCTTGGTTTCTGGATCATATCGAAAAGACCACATTTCATCTCCAATCACAATGTTGTAAAGGAAGATTTTGTCCTTTTCGGCCTCCTTGATGATGTTCTTCAAATGTTGAATTCTAAAAGGTCCTGTTTACTTTGGAACGCACCATGAAAGTATCTATCCTACGGGGTATATACACAAATTTTATTTTTTAATTCAGCAATTGTGTTTGTAAATAGTGGAACAGCTAAAGTGCCAAAGAAAAGTTTTATCGGTATAGTTTGTGCCATTGCATATACATACTGTATTTGCCTAAATGTAAGTCTCTATAATTGCACACCACAGTTGCATTTAAAATATTCCACGAAATATCTAATTTTAAATCGGTAATCTCTGACCTCAAAAATTAATAAATTGTAAACAACAATAGCGGTTTTTTCGATTTCATCTGAATAGAGTTGTTTGTTGAAGAACTATTACAACGTCAACTATGAATAATTTGCATCATTTATTCCGGCATATTGTCAATTTTATATTTAGCAAGATAAATTGTTATTTTGCAAAGTATAATTTACGTTGAGATTTTATTTTTGCAAATCTTACAAAAATTATTTTTTTTATGTTCCGTAGATCATGAAATACTGTACTTTTCAATATCCGTGTAACTTCATTGTTGAACAAAAAAAATATTTCATTTCAAAATACCATTTCTTGTTCATTTGGCAGTCCACTATTTCGTTCCATCATCGTATAGCTTCATCAAATAATAAAGTTTTTAATTTAAACCGTAACAAGATCTCTATTATGGGGAGAAAATATTGGTAGTTTGTCCCTCACTCATACCAAATGATATTTAAAACTGCTGTATTTCATACTATATAAAACAAAACAATAAAAGCTCTGAAGTATCTAAACAAAAATTAAGATTTTGTATATTTGTATAATTTTACTAGTTAGATATTATCATTTCTTCATGTACCTAAAGAAGTTTAGGTATATATTTATTGTTAACTGATAATATTGAAAAAAAATAACTACTAATGCTCAGACTACCATTGAATTACACCACTAATATTTAGCAAACATTAATTAATTCAATGCTGGTTGGGGCATCTGTCCGCAGGTTAGTTGTTTTTGGCATTTATTGATTAAAAATTGTATTCCTTAGTGACGACACAGATCTTCCTTTCAAAGAACCTGTGGAATAGAAGGTCGCTTTCTACCATTTCGGTCGCACTTTGTTATATCCTATTTTTTAGTAGGAAGTAGTAAAAGAAAATATTCTCTCCAAGACCAGGATCTATCAAAACTTATTTTTATTTTGTGTTTTGTGTACCTACTTTTGTATATTTTCCAATTATAGAAATATGAAGTATATAGAAAAATGTTTTTCATGTGGGTCTGGTACAGATATTTATTAATGTTTGAAAAAATACCTAAATAGGATTGAATGTATTGGAAACTTCCCAAATAAACTAGCATGATAAAAGCAGATTAAGATTCTTCACAACTGCTTAACTGACTTATGTTGTAAAAATGTAAATATACTGTAATATATAATATACTGTGAATTATGTGCCATATTTTATAAACGTATAAGGAGTTAAAGTTTTTATTGTAAATAATTATTTTTGTTTGATGACAACATATTTCAAATAAGGATTTTATATTATTTTTCTAAAATAAAAATATTATTTATATTATTGAGTGCAGAATTTTCCATTATTTTTATTTCCGATTATTCGTGATGCTGTGGAAATCCCAGTTATACATGATTTGTAATCAGAACAATTTATCTTGAAAAGAACAATGAGCTATAAAGCAATTTATAGTTAATAAGAAAACCTAACTCGTAAAGGTCAATACATTAAAAATAAAGCTTATCGTTTATGTCCAAAGATTACTGTATATGTATGTTACACAAAAAAAATTTGAAGAATTGATTGAGAAAACCCTTTTGTCGCCATTTAGTATCGAGAACAGCCCAGAAAATCCATATTTCCTACAGATAGCCCCAAAACCTTTCAAAACTAAATAACGTTTACCGAATAAATATATTTTGTTATGAATATAAATAACCAAAAGCAATTTTTCAATATTACTAAGGGGCATATTGCATCATTTTCGTCTAATATTAGATTAATTAGATACCTACCCGAAACAAAAATTTATATTTTAAGTAGCAAACCATTTAAATTGATGGTAGGTCGTGGAAAATGTCATGGAGTGTCAGTTAACTAAAGTGTGTTAAAATGGAAACATTGTATAAGACAAATAGTGATATCAGTCCTTAATAACCAAAAACATAGAATTTTGAATTAAAGAAATGGAAATCAATCAATCAACATAACTAAAAAAAATGTTTTTCATTTTCCAATTTGATATAAAACATTATCCTGAAAATTAAAAATTTATAGTATTTTGAAACTATATAGTATTTAAATCTGAAAATTTTATAGCTACATCTGGAGTACCCCAAGGGTCAAATTTAGGGCCACTTCTTTTTATTTTATTTATTAATGATTTATCTCTGTCTTTAAAATCGAATCATCTATTTTTTGCCGACGATTTGAAGTTGTTTCTCAGTGTATCTAATTTGGAAGATTGTTTAATACTGCAAGAGCAGGTAGATCTTGTAAGTAGATGGTGTGAGAATAATCAATTACCTATTAACATAGATAAGTGTAAGATCTGCTCGTTTACATCCAAAAAAGAACCATTAGTATTTGGCTACACCCTTGAAAATGCGTTACTAGCACGTTGCGATAATGTTAAGGATTTAGGTGTAATATATGATAATAGACTGTCCTTCACTGATCATATCAATACAATTATAAATGCAGCTAATAGAGCTTTGAGTTTTATAGTCAGAAATTCAAGTTCTTTTAATGACGTTACTGCATTGAAGTGCCTGTTTTACTCATTAGTTCGTTCTAAATTAGAATACTGCAGCCTTATATGGTACCCTTACTACCAGATACATACTAACAAGCTTGAAAAAGTTCAACGTCGTTTTCTTAAATTTTTAAGCTTTCGAATTGATGGTTATTATCCAAATAGAGGATATGAACATAAGCTGCTGTTAGATCGATTCGAAATGCAGTCTTTGCAGAATAGAAGAATACTCAATAGTTTATCTTTCCTATTTAAACTTTTTCATGCCAGAGTTGACTCAGCATATCTACTGGGTTCTTTCAATATACGAGTTCCTAGACATGGGTCTCGTGGATTGCATGTTCTATTGTGGGAATGCTAAAACCAACATACTTCTTAAATCTCCCATCTATGTCATGGCAAATAATTATAATTTAATATCTATGCAGTGTGATATAAACCACTGTACCATAAATAATTTGTTATCTGCAGCAACTCAATTTTTTAATTTAATAAATTTTAATTGATATTGTAGAAACTAGAACGTATTTTGTAGTTTCATCTCAGTCATCGTTATTCACTCATCTTTCTTTTGCTTAATTTTTTGAAAGTCAAAATATTTTGCCATTTAAGTTTGGACTGTACTTTCAGTAAATGTGAAAACAAGAACCTACTGGTTAGATACTTTTAATGGTTTTAAACTATAATAATCCGTAAAATGTTGCAAATACCGAAAAATTGCCTAATTGTTGTTGTTGCCTAATACCGAAAAATTTTATAGGTTTCACTACAAACATTTTTGCACGGAATTAAAAATCATAAAAACCGTGAATAAAAATCAGAGCAGAACAATCTATTGTTGCAACAATAAGAATATGAAATTTTCCCTGTTTATAAAACTAATGGCTTTGTTTCTGCAGCAAATTTCTGATAGTTTCCAAACTGTTTTTATTATACAGGCGCGATTGTGGACTATTTGCTAATGGTTGTGAATTTGTGTTGGGAGAAGGGTTGTTTAGTTTCAGTCTTATTTCTCACAGAAATTTGAAATAAGTAAGTAAGTAAGCATAACAGAGAAAAAATAAACATCTTTTATCCTCAAATATTTCACAGACTAAACGGAGTAGTAGTTTTTGCTTTTTTGTACTTACAGATTATGAAATTGATGAATATTAAGTAGAGTAGAGGAAAAAAAGAGAATTATTTTAATTTATAACCATGGGAGCTAGGATTTTAATCCTAATGATTTTTTACTTAACGTCCGTATTATCATTATCAAATACGTACATAATTAATAATAATTAAAACACTACAAAAAACGAAAAATTACAATAATACAGACTATATAATCTTAATCTATCTACAAAAAATATAAACTTCTTCTCAGAAGAAGTTGATAGTTAAAGAGATACAGAGTGTTAAATGTAAAATAATATTTCAGTTGTATTTAATTTATTCCTTAACAAATGCAAATATCCAAAATATCACAAAATTTTGTGGATTGGAGTTCTTTGAGTAGAGGAATTGAAATCTGTTCACAATTTCGTTAAAGTTCATAGAGTGCGCTAGCTGCAGTAGATTGAATGTGTTAAAAACGACATAACTTTTTTGTACTTTAAGGCATCTTATCTTTGGTAACAAATTCTTATTTTACACAAGAAAGGTATACTTTATTAAAGTAGCTATCTCGCACCGTTTTTGAGATATTTGGCTTTGAAACTTCCAATGCTGTTGCAATTAAGTACCTACAGGTATTATTAATTTAGCGATAAAGTTTCTTAAGTAGGATTGGACGAAAATCAAATAATTGACGTCTTATTGCTGTCATTTGTATGCTAATTTCTATTAGGTATTATTCGTATATAATTAAAATTACATCTTAGCTTACAAATTAAATTGTATACTCGAATACATAAATGTGAGATAGAATGCCGAGGCTTTCGTTTTTGGAATTACATGAAATCAGTTGTTTATGGAGAAACTATAAACANATCAATCAACATAACTAAAAAAAATGTTTTTCATTTTCCAATTTGATATAAAACATTATCCTGAAAATTAAAAATTTATAGTATTTTGAAACTATATAGTATTTAAATCTGAAAATTTTATAGCTACATCTGGAGTACCCCAAGGGTCAAATTTAGGGCCACTTCTTTTTATTTTATTTATTAATGCTTTATCTCTGTCTTTAAAATCTAATCATCTATTTTTTGACGACGATTTGAATCTGTTTCTCAGTGTATCTAATTTGGAAGATTGTTTAATACTGCAAGAGCAGTTAGATCTTGTATGAAGATGGTGTGAGAATAATCAATTACCTATTAACATAGATAAGTGTAAGGTCTGCTCGTTTACATCCAAAAAAAGAACTGTTAATATTTAGCTACACCCTTGAAAATGCGTTACTAGCACGTTGCGATAATGTTAAGGATTTAGGTGTAATATATGACAATAGACAGTCCTTCACTGATCATATCAATGCAATTATAAATGCGGCTAATAGAGCTTTGAGTTTTATAGTCAGAAATTCAAGTTCTTTTAATGACGTTACTGCATTGAAGTGTCTGTTTTATTCATTAGTTCGCTCTAAATTAGAATACTGCAGCCTTATATGGTACCCTTACTACCAGATACATACTAACAAGTTTGAAAAAGTTCAACGTCGTTTTCTTAAATTTTTAAGCTTTCGAATTGATGGTTATTATCCAAATAGAGAATATGAACATAGGCTGCTGTTAGATCGATTCAAAATGCATTCTTTGCAGAATAGAAGAATACTCAATAGTTTATCTTTCCTATTTAAACTATTTCATGCCAGAGTTGACTCAGCATATCTACTGCGTTCCTTCAATATACGAGTTCCTAGACATGGGTCTCGTGCTGATTCCATGTTCTATTGTGCGAATACTAAAACCAACATACTTCTTAAATCTCCCATCTATGTCATGGCAAATAATTATAATTTAATATCTATGCAGTGTGATATAAACCACTGTACCATAAATAATTTGTTATCTGCAGCAACTCAATTTTTTAATTTAATAAATTTTAATTGATATTGTAGAAACTAGAACGTATTTTGTAGTTTCATCTCAGTCATCGTTATTCACTCATCTTTCTTTTGCTTAATTTTTTTAAAGTCAAAATATTTTGCCATTTAAGTTTGGACTGCACTTTCAGTAAATGTGAAGACAAGAACCTACTGGTTAGATACTTTTAATGGTTTTAAACTATAATAATCCGTAAAATGTTGCAAATACCGAAAAATTGCCTAATTGTTGTTGTTGCCTAATACCGAAAAATTTTATAGGTTTCACTACAAACATTTTTGCACGGAATTAAAAATCATAAAAACCGTGAATAAAAATCAGAGCCGAACAATCTATTGTTGCAACAATAAGAATATGAAATTTTCCCTGTTTATAAAACTAATGGCTTTGTTTCTGCAGCAAATTTCTGATAGTTTCCAAACTGTTTTTATTATACAGGCGCGATTGTGGACTATTTGCTAATGGTTGTGAATTTGTGTTGGGAGAAGGGTTGTTTAGTTTCAGTCTTATTTCTCACAGAAATTTGAAATAAGTAAGTAAGTAAGCATAACAGAGAAAAAATAAACATCTTTTATCCTCAAATATTTCACAGACTAAACGGAGTAGTAGTTTTTGCTTTTTTGTACTTACAGATTATGAAATTGATGAATATTAAGTAGAGTAGAGGAAAAAAAGAGAATTATTTTAATTTATAACCATGGGAGCTAGGATTTTAATCCTAATGAT